GTTTATTGTATTCTTTTGATAATTGATAAACTGTTGCTCCTATTAACAAGTCTTCATACCACTGTTAATAGTAAATATGCCTCTTTCATAATTGATCGTACATAATTCCTTCTACGTATAAACCCTTGTATGGTGATAATTTTGTCGTGATATTAGTAATACTTATAGTCATATTTAGTTTTATTTATTAGTTTTAGTATTATTTTATCCCGTTGTCTTTGTAAATTGTAAAAGGTTTACACGGATAACAATGGTGATACAAAGTACCATCCATTGCACTAGTTATTTAATAAACTAATTTATAGGTTAGAGAGAAATATTGTTATTACTGTGTAGAGTATTTTGAACATTTTCTCAAATCAGTCTCAAAGTTTGCATCACACAAATATAATAATACACTCTATCTGCCAGTAGGTCACAGCTAATACAATTGATTTAACTGGCCTATCTCGAAATAGATAATAAATATATAATAAATAATAATAATAATCAAATAATTAATTAATTAATCATGAAGACACAGTGAGTAAGGTGAAATAAAAGTAGTTAACACAGTATCAAACAATATTTAATAATATTTCACAATATTATAGTACAGGATGTAAGTTTATTAATATATAAAATATAAAGTTTTTTAAAAGTAAAGTATAATTTAGTAACAGGAATATTATTATGTATTAGGATGTCTATTTTACCGTCCCTGAAGTAAGTTTACTTTTCTACCTAATAATAATTAAAATATTTTGATATATTCTGTAATATTAAGTAATAATTAATTAACTAATAACTATTAATGAATTCTTATCACTCTCCTTAAAACTTACATCTGATAATGGTTATATTTATACTTTTTCTTTTGTTTTTACTTCATCCTTCTCATCTTCGTATTTCATCATTTATCCTGATACAGTCATCCTTCATCTTTGTGCAGTTATCTTTATATTTCATCCTTTGTCCTCATACGGTCATCTCACGTGAGATAACAATTACCTGAATGTTTATCTAGTGACACAAATTATTATCTCCTGTGACATTTCACCTAATTACCAATTTGGATCACCACAATATTGTAGTTACAATGAGATATTGTTACATTTTTTGTTATCATTTGTCATTTGTCTTATTTGATTGTTTAGTGTACTGAATTAGGGAATTATGATATTATATTTTTTGTTTATATATAGGTTATTTTATAAAAGTTTTAATGTTTCTCAAATTGAATTTACCTGATACTTTGTTATGTATATACATGTTTCCAAAATTGATTTTGAATTTTTGAGGTATTTCAACTTTTTAAGATTTATGTAAAATCTATTCTATATATGGAAATAAAAAAAGTATCCAGTTATGTGTATATTCAATTAAAGAATAAATCTGGGCGATCAAAAAATTTCAGGTTTTAAGTAAAATAATTTCGTCTTCTATAAAAAACTATTCAACTTTTTTTTCTGAAATTTTAATTTTGAGGCTCCAAAATAATTTTACGTGCAAGTATAGTTATATAGATATAATTGTGAAAATTAAGTATGTAAGATAGCAAGAGAAAGAGGATACAAATTTATTTGTTGTATAGACTCTCAGAACGTATCCTGTGGAGTGGAAGGATCACAATATTTGAGATGACATTATTTGTATCCTTGAGTATAGATGACATTGATCATGATTCTCAAACAGTTTTCGAAAAAGATAAATTTTATTCTGTTGGTAAAAAAATCGTACCTGAATTCTATTGTAGAAATAAGAGACTAAAGGTATTTTTATGAATTTTTTTTTTTAAATATTTTTTTTTAAAAGTTTTTATTTAAAAATATTAATATTAGATGATGGTGTCAACATCCATGCACTTAACAATTCTTAATAAGGTAGTTGAATCTAATAAGTGTCCTTTGAAGGTGTCCTTGATTGAGGTTCCTCAGGATATGCCAAATGAGATTAATGACGAAATAGTTATTAATACGTTAGTAACTAATTACTTTGGTCAAGAATTTAATTTATTATGAGGATCATTTTTTCGTTATATAATTTATGTTTAATGTCTTTGAGGATATCATTTGTCCTCAGGAGTTATTAATTTTTGTAGTTGGGCAAATAGAAATAATTAACAACAAATTTTATGTGTATGCTAAAGATATCAATTTTGTTAACACATGTTTTGTTGCTAGGAAAAGATTTTTTGACAATAGTTTGTTCCAGGATTCATTGGTTTCTAAGAATTCAGTCTGAACTAAACTTTTGGTAGCCTATTGAAATATCGTTGAAAATTCTAGGAGAAGATTAGAAGATGGAATTTTAGTTAATTCAAATGATCCTGTAAATGAGTTTAGATTAGGTTTAATCAATTGTTCTTTTTCAGAAAAATATTCACATGTTGATAATTTTGACAATTTTACCAGTGAAAACTTGGCCAATCTTGGACATATGAATCATGAATCTTTTACAAAAGAGGATAACAAATTAGCTAATCATAATTAGAAAAAAACAGAAGGATTAGTTATAAGTAGTGAGAATAAAAGAAAAAATTTACGTATTAAGGGCAAGAAGCATATGAAAAGGTCTTCAAGTGATCTTGTAAATGAGTTTGGATCAGATTTAACCAATTGTTCTCTTTTGGAAAAATGTTCACTTATTAATAATTTTAATGATTTTATCTGTAAAAACTTGACTGATCTTGAATATATGAATCATAAATCTTTTACAAATGAGGGTGATGAATCAACTGACTATAATCAGGAGAAGATAGAAGGATTGGTTATAAGAGTAAGAATAAAAGAAAGAATTTACATAGTAAGGGCAAGGAGCATATGAAAAGGTTTTTGCGTAATAACTCGGGTTCGTGCATATCAAATTTTATTAATGTTAAATAGGAAGAGCAATTGTAAGTTTTTTTTTGTATCATTATTGTGATTTATTTTTTATCTTATGGTAGTATTATTGTTTCATATATTATATCATATTGGACTTTGTAAAAAATAGTATTAAATATACTTGTATTTATTTGTTATATTAAATTATATTATTATATTATTACATCATATTAAATATATTTTTAGTATTTTATCTTTGTACATTATCATTATTACATCACTTAATAATAGTTTTTTTTGAATGTTTTTTATTTTTCTTGAACAATAAGTTTTTAGATAAATTATAATTATTATCCATATTATTAGTCAGATAAAATTTCTTTGTACACAACATTCCTTATATAAACATCTTTTTTGCTATGAATGTTGTTATTTTCTATTAATACCTTGATATTGTGGTAAAATCAGACTCGTGAAAGAGTAATGTAAAGTTGACCATGTGTAAATATGTGCTCTGGTAAATAGATTCTCACATTTGGAATGGTTTGATCTTGAAACTTGTTAATTGTCACAGCGAAAGCAAGTTTGATTAGAATTATTTTCTTCTTAGTGTAAAAGAAAATTTGATATCACTTAAAGAAATAAATATTATTCAGAATAAAATATTTGTTTTTTTTTATAACTACCTGTTACTATTTCAGTTTTGATAACATTTTTATTAAATGCTCGACATATTAATCTAGTTTTATTGCACAAACCATTTATCGGATCTAAGTTTTGAAGATATATAACAGAAGTATTGATTTTAAGATATAATTTATGAGGAGGGATGTCACTTAAGGTTATCAAGTTAAGAAACTTTTGTGAATAAAGGTTATGATTATTGTCTAGAACTGAATCAAAGCTACAGTACATTACAATATTTCTTGATATCTTGTCTAATATCTTGTCATTGATATAGTCTATGTATTCATTTTTAGTGATAAATATTGCTCTATTAGTAAAATAAGAGATATTTGTGAAGTTAGTTTGAAGAGATGAATATGTTGATTCTATTAGAGCCTATAAAGTATTTTTGTTGTGTTGTTCAATTATTATATTGTCAGGAATACAGATCAGATCATCATTAACAGTTTTTTCAGTTCTGTTTCTAATTCTTAATAAAAAATTTTTAAAATCATCAGCTTCAGAATTTTTTTCTACTCACATGTTTTGATAAAGGTGAAAAATATTTATTTGGACCACAGAGGAGAAGATTTAAAAATAGCATTTACGATTTGCGCACAACTTTCTTGAGGAATAACAGGTAAGATTTATTAAAAGTCTCTGCTGAAAATGAATATTTTTCTACTGAATGATAAATTATATTCCATTAAGTCCTTCAAAGTTATGTCCAAGACTTCTATGTAATAATGGTTAATTATGGGAACTTTATTTCAGATAATTTAGCTAATCTTAATAATTCAGTTAAATGACTTTGCTTACTTATAGAACATGTCGAATTTGAGTTGATATCTAAAGGAATCTTAAATCCAGAATATGCTATTCGTCCCCTGGACATTAATAAAGTAACAATACCCAAGGAAGCAGTTGCAAGTACAACCGATGAAGTCGAATGGACTTTTGTAAGTAGGTAGAGATAAAGAAAGGTTTTTCTTGATTTTGCAAAAGTGAAATAGTAAAATAATTATGGAATAAATTGGATTTAGTATAATTTAATTTGTAGCCAATGTTATAATCTTATTACTTTTACCCAATTACTTGAACTAAATTTTATATTAATTTATCAGCAGATTCATCAACAAAAATAGTAATTAGTTAGTTTTTTTCAATATGCTTTATAATAATGTCAAAAATTAATTTTTAATTTTCATTCAATAATTCAATTTTTGTTAAATTTTCTGCAATTACTGTGATACTTAATTTATCCAATACCAATTTCAGTAATTCATCTAGATTGTTGTTAGGTGAAGTAAGCAAGGAAAGATCATATTTATATAGGGATTTATGATAGTATTTCAAGAGATACTTTATTTGAAGGAAGACTATGTCAGTTTGGAGATAATTATCAGGAATTCCTTTTTTAGTGAAGTCTTGGAACATGTTTACAAAATTATTGTTTCAAAGAGATCAAACATTGCTTGATTCTCCGAACAATAATATAATTACAAATAGTCATTTCAGCATGAACAACATCTGGAATTGGATGGCTTCCTGTATCATTTTGTGATATATTGTTTCCATTTCTATAAGTCCTCGTTTCATTGCATTTTCTTTGAATGTCGAACACCAATAACCATTAATTAATTTTAGATCAGTGAATGACGTGACTCCTTTAATATTATTTAAAAGAATATATAAATAGTAACATTCCCTTCAATCAAGTTATCTGTATACATTCTTTTTACTGCATTATTCTAATAATGTTTTGTTCATTTTCTTGTTAATTTGTTCCATATGTAATATTGTGAAAATTCATAGTACAAATAATTTCTAGCTTGTAGATCAGTTTCGTTCATCTTAAAATATTCAGTTAACATTGTTTTTCTGTTTTTTTTATCATTAAGGATATTACTTAAACCAGATGCCTCAGGAAAACTTACATTATATTGATTGGGGAGATGAATTTGTAAGCTAAGAGCTGAGTGATTGATATTTGAAAGATCAAACCTGAAGATTTTCCAATATACTTCAGATAAAGAGATCCATTAAGTATCTAAGTATTAGTTGATTTCGTTATTATTGATAATTTGCAGAACTACTCGGTCATGACCCTTGTATATATATATTTGTATAAATATTTAACAGACTAAATGCTTGAATATATTTTAACGTTTATATGTTAATTGTATTTAAAGGAAAGATAAGGGTTATACAGAATAACCTAGCGATTGTTCAATTCTGCACCTCTAATCGATATACGTTTTCCATTTTCACTTCGTCAATACAGAGGATACAAATCTTCTCTTTCTCTTGTTTCTTGAATAAACTCCTTTGGATAATGTTTGGTGTATAATAAAAATATTTCATGCATGAGAGAGAACATAAAGAGTTCACATAGACTGTGAATCATGAAAGATGTAACTATCTTGTATAATCTTGACTGTTCCACTAAATCTGATATTTCTGCAGATAATATGGTATCGTAATCATTTGCTCCATGAAGTTTGTTATTAGAATGGAACATTAACAATAGATGCACATGAGGAAGGCTGTGTTTTTGAAATTCTACTACACATATATGTGCAATTACTCAGCTAAAAATATTTTTGCTAAAAAGGTCTTTTTTTAATTCTTCTAGTTTGATACAAAAAATTCGAGCTACAAAAATGAATGGGTAATAATTGCTACAGCAGTATTTATCGTCATAAGGTAATAGATTAAATTTTTACCTATAAAATCTGATCTATCTTGTGTGGTCTGTTCTGGTAAAAGTTCTAATATAACCTCAAGCCACTATAGTTATACATAATAGTAATGAACAAATTTGGTTTATCATATGTCTGGACCAATATTATTGTGTCTTGGTATCTTGGTATATATTACAGGGCCTGCATATAAATGTTGATGACAAGATAATACATTTTCTCACATCAGAGGTATTAACTTTTTCTGATTGGAATGAATCTTATAAACTCTGGTAAAGTTCTTTATGAATCTTATCCTAATTATAACATATATAATTAAAACATGTGAATTCAATTTTGACATAATTGTCAACAATATATTACTGGAAAAGTCTACTGCCGTAAAATAACAACATCGAAGAAGGTTCTCAAAAATATAGTTTGTAGGAATAATATTGTCTAATATTAACTTCTTTCTATAGTGTGTTCTGTAGTATTTCAGAATGCTAACCGTAATTTTCTCGAGGGAAAAGAAGTGGGTATTGTATTGGATCACATAGACTACTCAATTCAGATATTCTTTTTAAGCCTTGTGATTGAAAATGTACAATCATGTCACACTCGAAATGGTCTGTAGTGCTGTAGTCCTCTACTCATATAGTAGCAACCTGTGAAGTTATTGACATATTATAGATATACTGGTCTAAGCTGTGGTTAGCTTTGATAAGAAGACAAAGATCTGTCATATTACTGTTAGAAAAAATTGAGTGAAAATTAGCTACAAAGGGATTTAATTAGTCTAACAATATTTTGATAAATTCTAAGGTATCTCAGTGAAGTTGAGATATAATGAAAAGCCTGTTATCTGTTTTAGATTCAGTATAATAAATATATAGCTGAAAAAACTTTAGAATCCCATCAACTGGAGTAAGTGATCCAATAAAATGATAAATTTCACTTTGTATTTGAAACGTGTAAATACCATCTCTACCTAATCAAAAGTTAATCTATTATATATATAACCGAATGTATCTTTTGATCAAATTCCTTACCGTTCGCAAGATCTTTATCCAAATTGATACCCATAGAAGTAAATGTGAAGACACTATTATAACCCCTGATATTGTTATAAAAAGCTTTTCCCACATTATTATTTCTAGTGAATAAGTCTCTCAATACTATAGTATCGCCTGTTGAAGCTAGACTGTTATCAACAAATTTAGTGTTAAAATTATAGTCAATCACAAAAAGAGCAAATCCTGTTTATTATAGATTAAGAAAATTACCTGATCTTTTCTGATCTACAACATGTTCCTTATTTTTCAATAGAAAAAAGTCTAGTACAACAATACGAACATACATGTATAACGTCAAGGATATAAAAACAGATGTAACTATTTTACAGAAATAACGAGCAGTATTGTAATTTTGAAACTGACATGATTTTTGAAATCTCTAAATTCGAAAGGTATCTGTGATCCAATATTCTTCAACAGTTCGTGAACGAAAAACATGAAGAGGTGATATAGCATTTATAGAATAAACTCAACCTGAATAACAACTTTTTATTTTTTTGTCTTATTTCGTTATTATTATTTTTATTTTATTTTATTTCTATTTTATCTTATTTTATTTTATCTTGTTTTAATTTTTATTCTTTATTTTTTGATTTTTTAGAACACAACAAAAAAACTTTTTACATATTGGTAATTACAAAAATTATTAGCTTTTTATTGTCCAGAGCATAACGTAGAACTTACATTTTTCAAGTATAGTAAACTTCAAAAAATTTTGTCCATCTGTCTAGCACATGACCTTATTGTTGTTATATAATATTACATGTGACCGCTAAATAACAAATACATGTCATGAAATTGTATACACTAGAGTACTTGAGCAAAATTTTGTCTGTCTGTTTGACACATGACAATATATAATATTTATATGATCAAATCATTATATATGATCAATTATATATGATCAAATATATGATCAATTATTAATTATCAATTATTTTTTATTATATGATCAATCATTATATATTACACTTCGAATAATAATTATTATTATTATATTTATAAATATATGAACTTATAAAAAGTTTAAAAAAAAAGTTAAAAAAGCTAAGTAGTTTTAAAATTATTTTTGACTAATTCAAAGAAACTAAATGTTCTTCTTTATTTTTTCTCTCAACCAATTTCCTATAATTTTTTATACGTTGTAACCTTTCAAAAGAAAACAGTTAGAAAAGAAGATCTTTGAGAGCACAGATTTGAGACATTGTGACAAAAGAGAGGCCAGCAGCATATTCTCTTTCTCCAAGATCTACTATGGTCTTTGGCAACATTAGTCCCTGGCTCTTATGCACCGTTATACTTCACGCAAGATTAATAGGAAGCTGCAGACGAGAACAAAGTATACTTTTAGATTCCCAAGTTTGTCTAATTGGTACTATGGAATAAGTCTTTTTCCATCTGTGGTTGTAATCGCAAGACCAGTATAATCATCAAATTCAATAAGAACAGCATTCAGAAGAGAAGGTGGGCCTTAACCTTCAAACAAAATTTCTTGAATGGTTCCCATTGAATCATTTCCTAATCCTGCTTCTGTTCATAAATTAGTCCTAAATATGACACGCATATCTTCAAGACCTTTTGCTATATTAGAATTGGCCTTAGACACTTCACAACCGCTGTTAGCATGCATAGCATGAATTTGGACAATAGGACAATTTAGAGCTTGAAGTTAACTCAAATTAACTTCATTAACATCAGTCTTTTGAAGCAGGATACATGTAGCATCTAGGAATTGTTCAACGTCCATACTAGATGAATTCGCAACTCGTGTAGTAAGTATTTTCCAGTCATTTATTGTAGATTCTCCATCACGTAAACATAACAAAATATCTCTAAAATTACATTGATCCTCAAAGTCACCAGATTGACGCTGGATGACATTGAGCTTGTAAATCTCTGAAAATTACTTGTAAGTGATTATACCATCGTTTGATACTGGATCACACCTAGTGGATTGCAAATACATTGGTTCATCGACCACAGGTGGAAGTTGTCTAAAATCTCCAATTAAAATGACAGATTTATTATCAAAAAGTTGATCTTTCTGTTTAGAAAATACCTACCGTAACCGCATATCAATTAAGGTGAGCATTTTATGTCCAACTATATTTTTTTCATTAATGATGATGTACTGTATACTGTTCATTCTTTTTTGTAGTTGTTTCAGCTGTTCATCACTTATATCGAATTTAGAGCTATTGATTGGAAGTGAAAGTACAGAATAGATCATAGTTCCCTGAATATTAAAAGCTACAATCTCAGTTGGAGCAAGCACAAGTAAAGATGATCTGATATTATTATTATGGCTTCTTACTATTATATTGAGTGAACACCGAATTGCTTTAATTAGATACGATTTTCCAGTTCCAACCATTCCCATGACAATAATTCTAAGAGATTCTACATGATTATAACCTTTGATAATAAAAAGGTAATGCTCTTCAATCTATTTAAATATTGCCTTCTGCTTTTAATTTAAAGTTTCAAAATTTACTGAACTATTTAATTTATCATAATCTAAAATATTTTCTTCACGATCTTGTTGCAGAAAAGTAGTCACATCTTTAAAGTTGATGGTGAGGTAACATTTCCTTATGTCACCAATTCAATCATAATTCTTATCAATTTCACGTAAACCCAAATCTGAATACTTATTTATGATTATATTTGGACCCATTTCTACTAACAACATTCATTCAAATCGTATCTTCCTCTCATATTCATACTTATCATCTGTTTATTCATCTTCCTTATTAATAATAGCATCTTCTGTTCTTCTTATAGGAGAACCGAACAAGTCATCAGGATCATTTCCAATCTTTTCACTATAAAGCTCGAAAAGGTATGACCAAAGAACAATATTATTTATGGTAAACTGTTCAATACTTCGGTGTTTTACATGAAGCAGAACTTTTAAATGACAAAATTTTTCCCATTAAGGACCATCAATCTGAGGTAATGGTCGTGACCAGATACATACAATATTTTTGTATTCACAGGGTTTCCATTGATTATTCAAAAATTTGTATTTTGAATAAAGCTGAAAAAGTGTAATATTCTCAAGTTTATTAGGTCGGTTTCAATATTTTTGCAAAGATGATTGTGACATTTTTCTGGCTCCATTAATTGTTGCAAATTCGCTCTCACTCCTAATATCACAAAGCAATCGTGAGGCATCATTGTTTAGATTTAAAGAAACAAATTGATGGCTAGAATGGTAAAGGGAAATGTCAAGTAATAAATGGCAAGTCTCTTGTATAGAGATATCACACTCTGCAACAGTATGAAGTAGAAACTTTTGAAATGAGCCAAGAGACGAATTATTAGATTGGCTATAAGCAAGAATCTGGATTAATACCTCTGAGAAGGCTTCAGATTGTAGCTCTGATTTACTTGTATATTTGGTAATGTACTGAAGAGCAGCATGGATATTCAAGATGAGTTTCAAATTAATATTAACACATCAACCCTGAAGTTGAAGCCAATCATGTGAGTTGACATAAAGGTCATTTCTTGTTGTAATAAGCTCTAGATGGCCATTATCATCATCACGTACGAAGGTTCATTTTATGACTTCTTTTGGAAATCTGAATCTACAGTATTGTTTGCCCGCACGATTGGTATTAAGACAGTATGAAGGACTACATCTTGTATGATACTGCAGTTTATTAACTAGCTCAATGTAATCTTGCAGGTCATCATATAACTCTTCCACAAGCTTTTGGCAAGAATGTTGATCAGGTACAGGTGCGTCTACTCCGGAATTGATCATAGTAACTAGAGAATCTAAATATTGAACCACCCTAACCATTAATTCTTCATCTTCTTTCATTTTCTCCCACTCAATCACTGGTGCATTTTTTCATTTTCCAATGCCATGCACATAGACACTACCCTGATGTTGCCATTCGTATCTGTATTACCAATCCTCTAAATTCCATTTTGAAATTAATACTTCTTGTAAGAACGATTTAAAACGGTTCTCAAAGAACCATGCGACAATATGTGGACTATCAATTAAATCTTTGCACTTGTATTTAGTTGCATCCTGTTCTGTTTCACCTATCTGATTCTCTTCATACTGTATAAGTTTATGGAGTTCTGGTCAATGCAAATCTGCAACACTAAGTGTAAAAAAAACCATCCCTTGTATTCTGAACTGTTTAATCATATCTGACAATTCAAATCGCTGTTTAATCCAAAATTACTGAGTCCCATGTAAACCTTCGCCGTACCATATATTTTGATTAAAAAATTGACTATTTTCATTATTCATCTCCTGAACCTCTTCAATAGTAAGCTGTTTGTTATTTAAGCCCTGTTTTACGTAGACTCTCTCTTCCTGCAAGGCTCTCCATTGTATTTGTGAATTCAATGCAAAGTATCACCAACGAATATGGCGAGCAAATCGACCATCTTTGTATTTGAGCTTATATTGAAAATACTCTGTGAGTTTGATATCTCTTACATGTTCTGTTCTAAGATCGGCATTTCCATATGGGTACAGTGTCAGGAAAGCATATGTAATATAGCTGGGAGTATGAAATTCATTGATAAATTACTATCAATATTCAGTTATGCAATTGGTGTAGTTTTAGCTTGCATTCGATTAAGAGCATTGCTAATGGCATTATCTTCGCGAGATGATAGCAGAGAGCTTGGAACAAAATTACACATAATTGCATCTTCCATTTCATTTGTATCATCATTTATCTGCCTATTTTCTTTATTGTTTAACTGTTCTTCGTTATTTTAAACCTGTGAAAGATACTCATCAATAGGACCATTTTTGGACAATGATTATAGCACTTCATCATCAATAGTTATGTTAGTGTAATAACAATTATTTTCTTTTAACCAGAAAAATGCTTGAATGATCTTAACATGGTGAACATTAAAATCTCTGAAGTGTGACCCACTTGCTGATTGTCAACGCACAATGAGTATATCCAATGACAATGGATGGTGAGAAACCGTGTCACAAATTCATGTAAATCTTGAGGAAAATTAATAACATTTCCTCTATATGCATATTGTTCTTCACGAAGACAATATACTGATATTATGGGAAATGTTTGCGCAATTAACATTTCTTCGATTTCAGTAAGCCCCTATAACTCATCAGGTACATCACCTAGATCCATGTTATTTTTCGCAGAAAACTTTTTTGAAAAAGTTTTGTCACTGTAGCAACACCTATATCCTCCCATAACAAGTTTAATTGATGGGAAACGTTTGTTGCATATGTGACAAAGTTTGTTCTCAATTTATTTATCTTAGTTCAAAATTTTTTTAGGAGTTTTCGATCAGTTTCAGGAAGCAATTCAGCTTTGATGGATGCAAAAGATAATTGACTGGAACATGTTCAATGACTATTTCTCAATTTATTTTTTATTTAAACTTTATTGTTTAATAGAAATAAATCATTTTTATACTTACCTTTGTTCTTCTACATTATTTTCTTGATGGCCTACTGCATTATTTTCTTGACAGTTTTCCATATTATTTTATTGATAACTTTCCACATTATTTTCTTGATGGCAGAGTATTCACCAGGCATTGAGCTAAGTCCTTTATGTATTACTCTTCTTTTTCTCTTTTGTTCTTTTTCTCTAACTATTCTTTTTTTACATTGTTCTTCAGTTTCGGTGGCTTTCTTTCTTCTTTTGCTTTTGCGATCACGTGCATGATGTCTTTCACTTTGTTCTGAAGTTTCATTCTCTCTCCTCATTCATTTTCTTTGTGTTTCATGATCATGATATAATTCGTTTTCCATTGTTATTAACTTTTTTTTTTACACACCTTTATTAACTTCTTCTATTTGTAGCTAGCAAAAAGTTTGCCAGAATAATCTGACATATTTTTCTTTGCTTGTATTACAAATATATTAACAGTAAATATTTACACATTTTGTACATATTTTATATGCATTTTTAATTGATTTAATATAAACAATTTAGAATAATTTTATATAGTGTATTATGTAGTTAATTTTATTACAATTAATTATAATTTTTACATAGTCTATTTTATTACAACAATTAATTACAATTTACACTTCTACATAAAATTATTTTATTAAAAATCATTTTATTAAAAATCATTTTATTAAAAATCATTTTATTAAAAATCATTTTATTAAAAATCATTTTATTAATAAAATTTTCATTCATTTGCAAACAATCTTTTGGAATTATTATTTCTGTTGTCATGTGACCGAAATACACATTTGTTTCAGTTGATTGCTATTCTATTACAATTACACTAATTTATTATTTTCTTATTATGTCTATTTTTATAATATACAAATTCTTTTACTACATAGTTGAATATTTTTATTATCATATGATTGAAATATAAATTAATCTTACTATTTATGTATACAATTCTTATGTAATTTGCTCCGGACTTACAACAGCTCCTATTTTCCTAGTAGATAAACAACAGATTAAGGAAATATTTGAAACACCAATCTAGAAACGATTCACTAATTTTCACTAAAACACCGGTATTAATCGTCTTCTGTAAAATTTACGTAATTGTCTATATCGCAATAAGACTATCTATCTATATCATGAAAACATGATAATTCAATTCAGGCGATTGATTTCTACTCTAATAGATTACTATGTCTTAGATTACTATGTCTCATAGAACAATACACCTTTCTTTATATAACACCTTTGCTACCTTTTTTTTTTAGACAATTAAACACGAACTAAAATTTTAAAATAGTACTCCGCAAACATGCATATTAATTGCGTAAACGACATTATTAGCATTGGAAAGCAAAAAATAGCATTCAAAGAAACATACTGAAAATGTAACAGGCTTTTCGAATGACGCAATTACCAATATTTCTTTCTATTATATACATCATATTTACATCACATATGCATAGATACACACCGATTATTTGCATAATAAATGTCGTAACCATTATTTAAATTCATTTATCCATCGAATTACGAAATCCTTACCATCACACCGATCATTCAAGTTTTCTTCAAAATTATTGTAAATTCTCTCTCTACATTTCGTTTGTTACACTAACTTCTTTCCTTTGTAAATCCTTGATCGTAAAATTCGTAAGTAACTCTTGTATATATAACTCTTGAAAACCAATAATCACCAAAACACAATACTGTCACATTTCGACAGTTATCATACAGTAACATATTATTACGGACAAAACAACCAATCAAAAATGTTAAAGTGTACACTTCTGTTTTAAATAATATAGATTATTGCATATAATTTTTCTTCCTTTTCTTCCTTTTATTTATTGCGCTAATAAACATAAAAAATATATGATTAAATAAAGACTTGTCTAATTCATTATTCTTATGATCATTTTTGTTGTTATTACATTAATAACAATAAATAAAATATATAATCAATAAAAATTAAAGTCAATTTTAAATTAATTCTTACTAAAAAATTAATTGATCAAAATACCTATTTTTAAAAAATAAATATTTTCTTTACATTAATTTATTTTAATCTAAATTTCATTAATTATTAATTATTATAAATATTATAAGCATTAGGATATTTGCAATATAATTTTTTATTATTTTATATTTAAATTAAACAATCTTATAATATTAATGTGACTATTATTGATCGAAGATCTGGTGACTTTATAAAATCACTTGACAATCTTTTGTATGTAAAATATGATTTGTGTAATTTGTGTAATCCAAGTAATAGAGAGATCAATCGTGACATCAGCTATATCATATATTTTTACTAATTCTATTTCTGTGTAATTATTATAATTGTTAATAATTATTGTATCTAATTATTACATTAGATTTAATAGTCTTTCAAATAATTACATCAGTTTTACAGTACATTATATATAATTGATCACAGAAAAAAAACTTTGCATTTCAAAAAATCCAATTAAAATTCGACCCGAAACTCTTTCTCACTTTTCAATAAAATATTTGAACTTGATTTCAAGTAATTATACAAAATTTGTAAATATATTTAGTAGTCTTTTTAAATATCGAAGCAACAGTTTTTAATTGAAAAATCCGTTTTATTATACAACCAATTATTCTAGCAATTATAATGTACAAATACATCAATACTCTTGTCGGCGTTGTAATGGTCGTGACATTCATAACAGTTTCAGCGGCCAAAAAATATTTGTATGCATTTTTATTCTTATGTATTCCTTTAAAAAATATAACTTATTTAAAGAGATTACTAACCATTTGTGTTTACAGTCAACTGGACGAATGCCAACATAATGAAAACGAAAAAAAAGAAGCTCATAAAAAAGAAACTATTGCTAAAAAACGTCTAACACACTTTTCACATGAAGGCTGTGCTCTCGCTTCTCTCTGTTAGTATCAAACAGTTTTTATTTTGTTTATTGCATTAGTTATATAAATATATAATATAATATATATGCATAATGTAAATATTCAACATTTTTTATTTTGTATCTAGGGAACTCTCAACGTCCACTTGGTGAATGCAATAAGCCTTTTAAAAGTTCTCCACTAGTTCCTGATGAAGAAAAACAGGATATGAATATTGTAATCTCAAGTAGATTCATAAGACATGCCAATACTTCCGTTCTTAAAATTTGTGATCAGAAGATGAATGATCAAGGAGACGATAATCAATATAATGATGAAGAAAGATACGATGACAAATATGAAGAAATATATGCAAATGGCAACTGTGAAAATAGAGAAAGCAACTCAATTTGTTATAAGAATTCCCAAAACAAAAAATCAGATGAACTGTAAGTATAAGATTATATAAATATAGATTTATGGTATTTTAAATTATGGACTAATGACTATTTTAATCGATTATTAGTGTTAAGTGTGACATAACCGATGAAGAAAAATCGAAAGCAGCAAATTATTTGGTGCACTCATTTGATGATTTGGATATAATATTGAAATTCCAAGACCTTATTCATAAGATTTTTTGTCATTTTTGATATTACTTGCATTAATTACTATATTACTCAACTAAATTTGATATTACTTTATGAACTTGCCATTTCACATTAATTTTACACTCTAAATTTTTCTTATTTTTATCTTACTATATTATAAAATTTATATAATTGATTATTAAAATGTATTTATCATAAATATAATAGTTATATTATCTAATGATGAAAATTTATTTATTCACCAATGATAAGAATTAACAAAATTTCAGCGTTCTTTTGCAGCATATAACGCTGCTATACTGACTTTCACGGAATATATAATTTGAGTATTTATATTTATAATCAATTGAAACAAATTCAAATGTTTTCAGCGTCAAATAAAAATTTCAAACGTTAATTATCAAACTAATAATAAAACCTTTATATCTGTTAAATCTCAGTGAGCGAATATTTTGATTATCAATTATCAATTTAATACATCTATTTATCATAAATAAATTAAAATTGTTAAGATTAATATTATAACAAAATCATTCATTAAATAATAATCTCAATTAACCCCAATTACGATAGATCGAAGATAAAAAATGTCAAGACAATAAAATCATGATTATGATTTTTGTTTAAACAAAAATTTCTTTTTTATTTTTTAAATTTCTTGTATTTTCTATTATTTTTTATATTACTTATTAAATATAATTTATATTATTTTGCGAATTGATTTATTTGTGTTTATTTCGCTTTTAACGATGACTTATGAATTAATAGTATATTTAATAAATAATAAATTGAATGAATTAAGTACACGATCCATTCATCATAAATAATAAAGTAAAATCACATAATCTTTATACTTATTCATCAACAATCGTTTTTAACACATTTCTCCTTCTTTAGTTTCTTTTAAATACAGATTTTTATTTTGATTTTATTAATAACATATTTCAATAATTCCAAATCAATATCAATGTTATCTGTATTACTTAAATTACAGCAAATAACAATACTCATAAACAAATTCCAACATTATCACTTTTAATACGCAACTAGAAAATGCTATTGTCAATGGAATCTTTTAAAGAAAAAAAAATAAAAATAAAAGAATAATGATTAAATCATATTATGCAATATTGTAGCTTGTGAAATCGATAGTTAAAAAAGTTTCACAAGTATAATATAATGAACAAAAAATATCTTTATGATTGTTATTCATAGATTTTTAAGTGAAACTGAATTAGATTAACTTAAATATTTCAAATCTTTAATTCGCATTACAAAAGGAATAACCATCTTATATTTACATTCAAATTTATTTATTGATTTATTTAAATTTATACATTAAAAAAATAAAATTGATAATATGTAAAATAAATTTCAAAGTAATTAAAAAATAAAAAAAAACTACTTTAAAGTTTTTGCCTCTTTCCGGCATGGTTATCAACAGCAATTTTATTATCATCATCGTCATCTGATTAAAAAATAAATTAGCATCAATTTCAATTTTTTTTTTTAAAAAAATATAAATATTTATAAAGGAAAAGATGCTTACCTCGACCCCTCTTGTTATTATTACTACCATTAGTATTGTTTTCATTATTTTTATTATTTTCGACAGCAACATTATTGACATCATTATTATTATTAGTATTATTGATATCATTATTATTATTAGAATTATTGGCATCATTATTGATATTATTATTAATATTATTGTTCTCATTATTATTATTATTAGAGTTTGGGCAAAGCTGTTGTTGTGTTTGTTGTTGTGCTGGTTGCTGATCGTATTGTTGCAACCTTCTTTGGCACAATCTTTGAATACTTTGTTGATATTGTAATACCCCAATTGGATTATGTTGTTGTTGTTGCTGTTGTTTTTGCAGCTATAAATAAACAGAAATAAGTGAGAAATAAAAAAAATAAATATTTAAATTCGAAAAATAATCTTTTTTACCTTCTGTTTCCTATTTTCGATTTTGAATTGATGATAGTATTTTGGTAACTTAAGTTGCTCCATCACTAACGGAGGCTGGCAGTATTCTTGAATATAATATCTACCAAATCGCTGTAATTGGTATTGGAGTTGTCTTTGATGTTGTTGTGGTTGTTGTTGTGGTTGCTGCTGTGGTAGTTGTTGCTGCTGTTGTTGCCGTGGTGGTTGTTGTTGCTGTTGATTTTGTTGTGGCGGTTGATGTTGCTGTTGTTGTTGGAATTGTAGTTGTTGTTGTTGTGTTTGATGTTGTTGTGGTTGTTGTTGTGGTTGCTGCTGTGGTAGTTGTTGCTGCTGTTGTTGCTGTGGTGGTTGTTGTTGCTGTTGATTTTGTTGTGGCGGTTGATGTTGCTGTTGTTGTTGGGATTGTTGTTGTTGAGATTGCTGTTGCTGTGTTTGATGTTGTTGTGGTTGTTGTTGTGGTTGCTGATTGTATTGTTGCAACCTTCTTTGGCACATTCTTTGAATCTCTTGTTGATATTGTAATATCCCAATTGGATTATGTTGTTGTTGTTGCTGTACTTGTTGCAGCTATAAAAGAAAATTGAATAAGTGAAAGAAATAATAAAAATCAAATATTTTAATTCGAATTATTATCTTATTATACCTTCTGCTGTCTATTCTCGATTTTAAATTGATGATAATTATTTGGTAACTTAAGTTGTTCCCTCACTAATGGAGGATTGTATTGGAGTTGTCGTTGTTGCTGTTGTTGTTGTGACTGTTGTTGGGATTGTAATTGTTGACTTGATAAATCCATTTTAAAAATTTGTTTGAAAAAAGATTTGTTTTAATATAATAATGAAATTGAATTTTTTCGAAAATTTTGTATTAATATAATAATGAAGCAAATTTTTTTAAAATTTTAGAAATTTAGGAATTTTTTTTGATTGAGTTTTTCTCACGAAATTCTTCTATTTCCCTTTTTTTATACTTTTTGTTTCCTATCAATAATATTTTTTAACTTTAATATCATAAAAAAGTCTTTGCATATGCTTTATATTTCTTATTCTTTGTTTCAGTCAAAAAAAAAATCATCAGCCAAATTTAGCAATTTATAGCTTGAGTACATCAGACTAATTATTTATATTTACTAATGATTACATCAGACTAATAATCAATAATTGTTAGCAAAAAGTTCTTGGCGAAACCCATGTCCAAGATCCATTTTTGGCCAGTATAATTAGTTATTTTTCAGCTCAGCCCAACCCCTAATTTAATAATTATGATTTATGTTATTGAACTTATTGGTGCATCCTGTAGCTCTGAGAAATGCTTGCCATGCTCTCCTTTTTTTATCAATAAAATATTTTATTACTATAATATTATAAAAAAGTCATTACATATGACATTCTTATATTTCTTATACTTTGTTTCGGTTGAAAAAAAAATTGATTAGCCGATCTATCTAATTTAGTAATTTAGCAGCTTGAGTAAATTATTAATAAAACTAATGATTTGATTGCATCACTAATAATAAATAATTATTTTATTTTTGCGTTACCCGTGTTCAAAATCCATTTTTGCCAGTGGAAACAGTTATTTTTCAGATCAAACCAATGCCTAGTAATTATGATATTCTTTATATTTGTTTCGGTTATTCAATTTAACAACCTGAGTACATTAGATTAATCATTAATAATAACAAAGGATTAAATCAAACTAATATCAATAATTATTAGCAAAATTTTTTTTGCAAAACTCATGTCCAAAATCCATTTTTGGCTAGTAGAATAAAGGTTGGATAATAATAATTATAACAAGTTTTCTAATCAGTGTAGTATAATAACTATCCCATCGATTGTCAGTTTTCACATGCTACTGTTTAGCAAACAAATTTGCCTTTCAACTATTATATTGATAAGCATATTAAAAACGATTTTCTCAAATAATTATCTTGTAATCCAAAAAAATCAAAGATTTACATATTATTATATCAAAAATCTTGTACTAAGATTGTGTAACCAAAAAATAGAATCTTAGTGAGAGTACGAAATGCTGTAGAAGAAAGATAACACATGATATTAGACTCATACTTCTACTATAATACTATACTTTTTTTCAGTCGAAAAAAAAAATCCTCAGCCCATCTACCTAATTCCTAATTTAGCTTGAGCACATCGGCTAAGAATCATTAATAATAACTAATTAGACTAATAAAAATAATTATTAACAAATTTTTTCATGAAACCCATAGCCAAAATCCATATTTAGAAAGTTTTGGCAATCAGAATAAAAGTTTGATAATATCATATCTTTTCTTTTTATTACATTTCAAATTTTCTTCTACAGTATTCCATTATCTATATTTTTGATTTCGCACATGACATGAACATCCTTTATTTTTGAGATCACAAGTTATCATTTTTTCTATTAGTTTTATATTTGATCACGCGATCAACATTCATTTTTTTTTTAAAAAAAAACTCTCCTCATTTCTTCTTAAATTTAATAAACAAGGTAATTTTTGCTTTAAAATAACGCTCAGTTACTTCAAGACTTATATGATTTCCTTAAATCGCGTAATATCTGTTTTTTCCGTATACTACTTACAGCTTAAATTTATAAAAATGCAAGACCTTATCATCTATAACTTCTTTAAAAAAACTGCACCAACATCATATGCTTTGGGCAGTTTTATAGCAGATATCATCATATTAATGTGGAGCTTAATGAAAATCAGCAATTGCAATACTACTAATTTACGCTTTAAAAATTATTGCATTGAGGTATTTATATCTTCCTTTATTTTATTTTAAAGTAATAAAAAGACCCATAAAAATTAATATTCAATACGTTTTTGGAAAATTTTAGACAATATTGAACATAAAAATTTCAAAAGAGACTGTCTTCATCGCAATTAAGTATGTACAAAAGTACATGAAAAGAGGGAACACGGCAAACTTTAAAGACGAATACCAACTTTTTACGATCGTTCTAATGGTGGCGCATAAATGGCATAACGAACCAGTCTATAAGAATAAAATGTGGTCAGATTTAACTCATATCCCTCTTGATGAAATCAATAAGTTGGAAATCGCATTTATAGAATCTTTAAATTACAAGATTCATATTGGTGGGGACAAATACACTTTTTGGTTAAAATGTTTAACAGAATATGCTAAGACGGGAAAACTCGCTTTACTATTTGTTGAACGATTCAACAAAAACTCCACTCGATCTCCTCCTCCACCACCAGGTTTTGGTTTTGATGTAAAATCGAAAATCATTCCTACTCCAATAGGATATGAACGAAATCAATATAAATTATATAATTTATATGATGGAATTGAATTTGACTTTTTTAAACAAACCCAATATCGATTATATCATTTATACGATGGATTTAAACTTGATTTCTTTAATTAATCATTTTTTTTTATATATTTCAAAAATATTTTGTCTTCCTTTTTATTTCTTAAATGTTATTCCTTACTTTAAATTTTTATTTCAATTATTTTGTAAATAAATTTATCATTGATATATTCCAAAGAAAAAGTTTATTATTTTATTGTCAAATTTTTATATATCTCGCTATGATTCATTGAGAAAAGTGGATGATGTATTTATGGCATTAGTCAGAAGTATATAATCTGTCGAAAAATCTCTTTTTTTTGAAGAACTATGAAGCAAGTTCTCTTTATTTGTCTTTGAGATCATTTGTTTTGTGTAATAATGATGATTTTTATATAATTCTCTTCGTAGATAATATTTTGTTCATTTCGTAATGTCATGCTTTCTGTCATTTCTCCGGTCGCCGGTGCATAAATATTGTACCACCGGTTTAATAAATATTGTGCAAGTAATGTTCAACAATTGTCATGCTTTCTGTCATTAGGATTATCCTACTATTGTGTACCAATTGATCATGCTTTCTGTCATTAGGTTCAAATCCATATTAAGAACATCATTAAAAGTATTGAGTAAATTATATTCGATTAAACAATTTATTAAAGTATAGGTGTAAATTTATTTTATTTTTTATTTATTCATTTTCATTTATTGCTTTTTATATATTATGCTTTATTAATTTATTTGTTCATTTAGTTATTCATTTATTTTTATTAGAAATATGATAGAATTGCTAAGCTTATGATAGAACTTTATTATAAAGTTATCGAATTGCAAGATGTCTTTCGACACTGAACATGATGAAGTAATGTACAGATTTCGTAAAGGAATTGCCAAAGTTTCGATCTCCACTAATATAACTATAATAGCTAGAGATATTGAAGTTATGCAAGTTAATCTAATTATTAATTTTGACATTCCCGTGAAAAGGCTGATCATGATACTTACTTGCATCATATTGGTCGTACAGGTCAGTTTGGTATAATAACCATCACAACTATGTAGATCTAATTTATCGTGGGTACTAATGCAGCCATGGGATATTAGATCGATCTCGTTGATCAATAATAGGCACATTAATATTATAATAATAATAATTTAATATTAAATATACTTTAAAGAGTTATATATTTAGATTATTGAACAAAAATATTTGCATTTGATATTTTTTAAATACTTTTAAGGTAAAATATCTTGATTATCAACGAATAGCATATCACTTTTTATTTATTATTTGATTATTTACTAAAACTTTATTTTTAATTTGTATAATTTTACATTAATAAAATAATAGTTTATTGCGAAAAAATAATACCCATACAATAGAAAAAACCAAATTGAATTATTGAATCATTTTGATTTTAGAGGATATTATTTATATGAATTGCCATGTGTATTTCTACATTATATTGATTTATTTTTAATTTAACTCTTTTGTCATCTCGTAGATTGTTTGTAAAATTATAGGTTTCTTACTTTCCTTCCTTATAATCCCTCTCTCTTTTTTAATTATTCTACACAAGTTATATGTCATACATGTTATTTGTGTATAAACTAACCACTGCTCCTTTTGTTATCGCCAGTAGCTAATTCTGTTCGCATTGATGATAAAAAGTGTTCTATGTAACTTCTGAATGTGCAGTAATCTTCTTCTTGATCTTGAATTATCCGTTCTAATCCCATGCAATCTTGCAATCTCCATCCAAAGATTCATCAGTATATTTTTTAATGTCTTTTTATTTATAAATTTCCTTTCTTCAAGTTTTTTGTTGTTATTATCATCCCGCTTCCCCGTTTCACTTATATTGTTATCTTCTTGTTTAGTGATTCATGCACCTGATTCTTTTTGAATTAAGTTTGTAGTTTCCATGGCTTTTGTTATGTTATAGAATGGCATTCTTAATTTGTTTTTATTGATTCATTTCTGACTCATTTGTCCACATCTTAAAGTATGCCATAGGTATTTCTATTTCTCTCTCCTTCTCGTTGTCTTGACAATTATGCAATTGTTTCCTTTTTTCGTGCTTTGTGAACGTGCTTCACGTGAGACCAAAAATTGAAGTGAGTTCCTTATCTTTTTGCAAGATATCAAAATGACTGATATATCTCAATTTTTCTTTGTTATTTTGTTATTCTATTTCTTTATTTCTTTCCTATTACTTTATGTTCATTTTCTTACTGGCTATCCATTTGGATTTAGATAGGTTATACTCTGTACACAACCTAAAAAGAAATTTGAAGATTGTTTGTATTCTAATCTGATTATTCTTGAAAGTTGTTCCATTATCTTCTTTTCGTTTTCTTTAATTTATGAGTACCTTCTTGGGATTCTACCCTCTCTATTTGTATAGTTGGCTTTTATTTGAGACCATTTTAGAACGTTTTTTTTATTCTATATCGAAGTTCTGTTCTATATAAAATTATTTTTTTCCCGAGACTTTTTTGTATCCTTCATATTGTCGTTTCGTTTGCATTATGCCATGTTGTATTTATTTCTTTTACTAAATTTATTATTGATGCTGTCCTGGCAAATCCTATAACTCGAAACATTTTCAAAATGATCTGTCAAATGGAAAACTCAATAGATAAGCTTATTCAAGATTCTCAAATAAATACAGATTATTATTTAAACGATACCTTATGATAGATCTAAGGATATTTAAAGAAATAGTAAATGGTGAATTTTTAACAATACGTAATGATTATAATAATTTCATAAATGTGGAAAGAAATGTTATTGTAAACCGAAGAATAAAAATAAGAAATCTGACAGTTAAGGATAGGAATTGACCATAGCTCTTACTATTTCTATCTAATAAATATATCTCTCTATAAAAACTATTATCTATAATCAAACTTTTTTTTACTTACCCATCATTAAGCATCGTTAAGTATCGTTGAGTAATCCATCGTGAAGTCATGTAAATCATTGAACAATAAAAAAGAAAGGTAATAATATAAATATTAGTCAAAAGTATAAATAATATTTTTCATTATCACTTTAAAATTTTTTTTGTAATCAGATAAGCTGGTATAAATGTTTAAAAAAATAATCTTTCAACTTTCACCATGGTCGATATGACAGTGAATGAATATAAATGTCATCATGTTACGTTCAGATACACTGGCTATAATATTTAATTAAACATAATCTTTCAAATTTCACCATGGTCGATATGATTAGGGGGAAAAGAATACAAATTTCATCATATTACGTATTACTAATTCTCATTTTGATATATTACTCTTTACCTTTATTATTTTTTTTCTTCAGAGATAAAAAGATGAGATGAAAATTTGATGAAAAAAAATTTTTTTTTTAGGCATAAATATATGTATGTACATAAATTTAACGTAGGTCCCATAATATTGTGTAATATTACGGTTAATAAATTTTCTGATACAGTTACACAATCTATTCGTAAGGATTTATGAAACGTTGAAATTTCACATGATTTTGAGTCGCATGTTCTCACATCGCAAATATTCCAAAAAGTTCTTGGAGAAAATCCATATTAATTTCCGTAAAGAATTGATTAAAATTCATATGTTTTATTTGTTAAAGAATGTGTTTTTTTAATCGATTGGTAATTCTTGATTTATTTTATTAAATTTATTTATATTTTGATTCTATGATTTATTAAAATAAACAGAATAAGTACAGTTCATGATAATCACTATGGTGATAATTTAAGAAAAGAATTAAAGTCTTGGCATAGGCCAATAATTTATTAGATCATTTAGATGAATAAATGACAATTGCTGCATAATACTTTATTAAACCGGAGGATGGATTTGCTCATAATGACAGCAAATATGACAATTGTTGTACAATATCAAGATGATCATGATGAAAGAAAGCATGGCAATCGTTACACAATACTTGTACAATACTTAACCGGAAGATACTGATCCTAATGAAAGCAAGCTTGTACAATATAAAGATGACCCTCATGACAGAAAGCATGACAATTGTTGTACAATATTTATTAAATCTGAGGATGGATTTGATCCTAATGTAAAAACATGACAATTGTTGCAAAATACGTTATTAAAACAGAGGATGGTACAATAATTATTGAACCAGAGAAATGACAGAAAGCATGACAATTGTTGTACAATATTTATTACGAGATTAGATCCTACCTTCAACGTCAGTTTCTCCGAGTACAGCCCCCAGAGAAGAAGCTACCAGTTAAATTACAAAGAAATCAGATGTATTAAATTATTTCATCAGATTAATAATATTTAATTTATCAATTTAGTTTATTTCCTTTATACTTGTTTATTTTAATTTTTTTGTCTCATTTATATTATGAAATAATCAAAATATTTCCTACAAAGTGAATTGAAAAAATAATCATATTACACGAACACAAATGATCTCAAAACAAATAAAAAGAACTTGCTTCATTGTTCTTCAAACAGCATGAAAAAAGAGATTTTCCACATAAATAAATATATCATCCATTTTTCAATGATAAAACATAGCAAGATATATAAAAAATCGACAATAAAATAATAAATTTTTCAATATAATATATCAAAGAAAATTTTATTGAGAAAATAAAAGAAACAAGGAATTTAAAGAAATTAAGAATGACATTCAAGAAATAAAATGAAAACAAAAATATTTAAAAAATATATAAAAATAAAATGATTAATTAAAGAAATCAAGTTTAAATCCATCATATACATCATATAACATATATTGGGTTTGTTTAAAAAAATCAAATTCAATTCCATCATATAAATTATAAAATCTATACTGATTTCGTTCATATCCTATTGGAGTAGGAATGATTTTCGATTTTATAGCAAAACCAAAACCTGGTGGTGGTGGAGGAGATCGAGTGGAGTTTTTGTTGATTCGTTCAACAAATAATGAAGCGAGTTTTCCCGTCTTAGCATATTCTGTTAAACATTTTAACCAAAAAGTGTATCTGTCCCCACCAATATGAATCTTGTAATTTAAAGATTCTATAAATGCGATTTCCAACTTATTTATTTCATCAAGAGGGATATGAGTTAAATCCGACCACGTTTTATTCTTATAGACCGGTTCGTTATGCCACTTATGCGCCACCATTAGAGCGATCGTAAAAAGTTGATACTCGTTTTTAAAGTTTGCTGTGTTCCCTCTTTTCATGTACTTTTGTACATATTTAATTGCGATGAAGACAGTCTCTTTTGAAATTTTTATGTTCAATATTATCTAAAAAGTTTCAAAAAAGGTGTTGGAACTTTATTTATTTTTATTATAAAAACCCACATAAATTAAGATATAAATACCTCTATGCAAAAATTTTTAAAACGTAAACTAGTAGTATTGCAATTGCCGATTTTTATTAGGCTCCACATTAATACAACAATATCTGATATAAAACTCCCCAAAGTATATGATGTTGGTGCAGTTTTTTTAAAGAAGTTATAGATGATAAGGTCTTGCATTTTTATAAATTTAAGCTGCAAGTAGTGTAAAGAAAAAAACAGATATACGCGATTTAAGGAAATATAATAAGTCTTGAAGTAACAGAGTGTTATTTTAAAGCAAATATTATCTTGTTTTAATAAATTTAGAAATGAGAAGAGCTTTTTTTTTTTTTAAAAAAACAAAAAATGAATGTTGAACGTGTGATCAAATAAAGGCTAATAAAAAAAAAATGACGACTTGTGATCTCAAAAATAAAGGATTTTCATATCATTGTGTGAAATCAAAAAATATAAAAACTTAATGAGAATATAATAGAACACTGTAGAAGAAATTTTGATAAAAGTAATAAAAAGATAACATATGACTTTTATTCTACTTGCCAAAAATTTCTAGATATGGATTTTGTGCATGGGTTGGGCTTTACAAAAATGTTGCTAATAATTATTAATTATTAGCCTAATATAGTCATTATTAATGATTCTTAGTTAGGTAGATGGGCTGAGGGATTTTTTTTTCGACTGAAAAAATGAATAATAGTATAGTAGAAGTATGAGTAAATATCATGTGTCATCATATTATTACATTATATCGAAAAATTTTTTCTACAGCGTTCTATGTTCTCACTAAGATTTTTTTTGGATCACAATATAATTATTTGAGAAAATCGTTTTTTGCTATGCTTATAAATAAAAAGTTTTATAATGATTGAAAGTATTATTATATTGCATTATAAAAAATCTTGTTAATATAATATTCTGTAACACAAAAGATTTATATTAATATAAGTTGTGACTACTATAAATTATATATATGTACCCCCGTTAGTACCCATAATGATAATACTTTTTTTTATCTATAATTAGGAAATAATTAAACAAAAATTCATGTGAGCGATGTAATTTTTTTGTGTAATCAATAAACTTGATTACCAGTTTGATATTTAATAAAAAATTTAGCTGCGTATTTACATTTATTCATTTTGTATATATAAGAATAATTCAATTTATTGTTGTTTTTAAACTTTCTGTATAAAATAACTGTGTTATCATTATAAATAAAATAAATTAACAATAGATACTTAAATAATGTATTTTATGTATTATGCATCTTATCTAAAAAAAAAGTTAATAGTTATCATGAGTTTTTTTCTGCGCAATTCATGATAATTATTAACTGATAAGTTGCATAATATTTCCTTTTTTAGATTGTCTATAATTATTTAAGAAATTCTTTCACATGATATTGGATTATGCTTTTTTCTGCACTGCGCTAGCATGATCTAAATCTGACGCAATAATTATTACATAGGATTTGATAACTAATTATTATTAATTACTTAAGCTATCAAAACTGATGTAATAATTAATAGTTATTAACATTATTACATCAGATTTGATCAATAATATTTGAATCTCCCCCTTTTTTTATCAACGGTAAAAAAAAAAAAAAATTTAAAATCTAAAATCTTTCTTGCGAACAAAAATGACTTCGATTATCAAAAAACTTAAGAATTTTTTACCTGGTACAAATTATTTTATTATTTTAATAATGTTTTTTTAATAAACTTTTATATTTATTACTAAATTTTTTAATTTATAAACTCCAGAAAATATTATGAAAGCAAGAAAACAAAAAAAAGAAGCAAAGGAGAGGTTGGCAGCAGAGGAGGTGGAGGAAGTTTATTTCGGTCTGAACGACCAAGATTATAAGGAGCTAATGGCTCTGCCAACGGACAAACATAAAACAATATTTCTAAGAAAATTGATAAATAATGTATTTAAATTATTTTTCTTTGTAATCAATATGTTAATAAAATAATAATAATAAGAAATTTATACTAACAATAATTTTCTAATTTTATAGGAGGTTACATACATCGAACGTGAAATAGGAGGGGAAAAAGTTGAGGAAGCTTGGTATCCATTGAACGAGGAGGAACTTGATGTGTTTATGGGGAGGAAGAGGGTGACGTGGGGACAAAATGAAGTCAGAGAATTTAGAGAGTATGAAAGTAGGAGAGAGAAGTGGTGGAGGAAGTTGAAAGAATTTTCGCATGTTAAGTTGTAGAGAGGAGAGAGTTGTTTTTCTTATTAAATTTCAAATTATTAATAAAATCATTTATATATTTTCATTTTCTTCCATTTTTTAAAAAATTTTATATGAAAACAAAATATTATCATTATTTACATATAGAGCATGTATCAGAATTTGTACAGAGAATAAACGATAATAGCTTTATGGGAAAGTCAGCATCAATTCGAATACAATAATTACAGAATTATCTTTAGTCAACACGGCCTATTCGGAGCATAGAGTAATAAACAATTCTCATCGACACCAAGAAATATAAACGGACATATAATCAAAGAATTGGCAAACAGAACATCAACTTAACATCCAACACGAGCCATCCAATTCCTAATATTCTAAATGGGGAGGTAAACAATCTATGGAATTCGAATAACAACTTGGTAGAGAAAGAAACAAAAATACATGATATTATATCTGGAACAATTACTAAATGTAGTCCTCAGTCACACACTACATCGGATGCATTTCAATCAAGAATAAATCTCCAGGAAAAAGCCAAATGGTATGAAACCTGATAATATATGTATATCGAAGTATGGATAGATCAAATTAGGAAAAATAATACAAATGTTCTAAACCCGATAAGCACTTAAGTTAGGAAAGAGAAAACAAAACGAAGTTTAACGATATTCCTCCTAAAAAATCCGGAAATAAAAATAGGAATAATTCAAAGGAAACCAATCTCGAGTGTAGTCAAGAGATCTTAATCGAATTATTTCGTGAGGAAAACGCGAGAAGAAATGCCTAACTCCATTTATGGCTGTGAGATTACAGAAACTAATATCTCAGAACTCCAATCCCAAGATTGAACATTTAAAACAGAGTTGAAAGAATTAGCACAATTACTGGTGAGTCAAGTTTGCATCCAAGTTTAAATGCAAGTATCATAATTTCGAAATCAATACAGACAGATCGTGATAATCATCAAAAGTCTGGGAATAGTAATTAAAATAAACACTAACTCGACGAATCAATCTTGTTTGATGAAGAGGTTCTGCATTTAATTCCCAAGAATAGAACTAAATTATTACCTCACAAACAACAGTCAATATTTATACTGACAGCGGGGACAATGCTTCACAACTAATATACAAACAAAGCCTGAAAAAAATTAAATTTCCCTTCCTACTTCCGGTTATTTTCGAAATTGCCAAGATAAATGAATTAGAGATCGAACTAACCAAAGTAGAAGCACACGCTGAGAACATATATAAGATGAATTGGCAAAATCGGGGGCATCCAATAAAAGAATCAGATAAATGTAGGCTTGATTAATCTTTTGGCAAATTACACAAACGCGTCGACATATCAATTAAGAACCCAACTATAAAATAAATGGGAATCGACATCATTCATGAATTAACAAAAATATGCGGAGAGAAACGGATGGACACTTATTGGTAATTGTTTAATTGTGTAATAAATTTATATAAGTTAGCAGCAAATGAAAGTCAACGAAAGTGAATATTCAATATAAAATATTTAACGACAGTAAAAAAGAACATAATGGCAGGTTATCATAACATCTGCGAAGATGATAAATGCATCATTTGTAAGACGGCAACACTCTTCACGTTTTAACATGCAATAATTTCCTAACATCACTGAATCAAACATTCAAAGAATCTATCATAATTAAGTAATATTAGAAGAAGGAGAAAAAATTAAAATAGAAATAATCTAAGCTATGAACTCAAGAATACAGAATTAAGCTTCATCGATATTGTATGTGGACTAATATCCAAAAAAATTGAAACATATTAAAAAAAAATTATTAAAGTCCATAGTATAATCAAAAATGTTGGATGCTACATTTAATACACTGAAAAAAAAGATATAAATGGTAAAATACTTTATTATCTGGAAAAAGAAAAAGAATTACCACAGAAAGTAGAAAGAAAAAATCACGTAAACATCGTACAAACTATAAATAGAGATTTAAAAGTACAAATAAGAGAAACGACCACTATAACTAGAATAGCGATAGAAGAATTTATACAAATAATTATAGAATATATAATATTTATCCTAGGAATGGATTTTGTGTTTAAAAAATAATGAAGAAAAAAATTTTGAATTATATTTAAAATCTGCAGAAAAAGGAATTCTTGTCGCTTGGATGGTGTAGCCAAAGGGTTTCCGTGGAATATGAATTGGCACTTGCTGGGAAATATTAATAGTATAGGTGTGGGTAAAGATTATCAAAAAGCATTTAAATGGTTTTTAAAGGCAACTGAAAAGAAGATTATTACGCTCAAATTATTTAGGATGTTAAGATAAAAATGTTTATGGAATTAATGTACAGTATATGGATGAAAGCATTTTATTGGTATAAGAAAGCTGTGGAATGTGGTGATATTAGTGAGGTCGGAAAATGCTTTTATGAAGGATGGGTAACTGAAAGAGACATTATAAATGCCGCCTACTGGCTAAATAAAGCAAAAGAAAATGGAATGACAATGTTAATATAAATTATTTAAGGTATTTGCTTAAAATTTTGTAATGTTCAAAGATAATGAAATCAATAAAACTTATTTTTTTTTTTTTTAGTAATTGAATGCAATACTTTATTCCAAAAATAAATTGGTAAATGGAAATGAAACAATAGATATGTAACTGCATATATTGATTAGAATGGATAGTTTGTAAGATAATAAAGAGATAGTAGAAGGTGGATTTGAACTATACTATATACTTATTTGGCTACAGGAAATGGGAAATTTAATCTTCACGAACAGATCAGAGATTGGGTAAATACACTTACCAAATCTCAAGCTTCCAATTCTTCTCTTAAAAGTCAAAGTAAGGAAATTATCCAACATAAATATCTAAAAAACCCAAGCTCCCTACTCCAAAGTAGTAATGTCAATGGATACGAACATGGACATCAGATCGGACATTGTTATGTCGCATGCTTATAAGTAGAAAATAGTTCTCATTTGTTGGGAACTTCCACGTGATAATCATCTCCTCGGAGAAAACTTTTGATCAGAACCACTTTCGGGGCGGAAATTTTTCTGAAATTTGCTTGAAAAAAATCTTGGGGACACAGTCAGATACAATACTTTTCCAAAAATCTTTCCAAGAGAAGACTACTAATAACAAATTAGCGAATTATATCATTGATTTTCAAAGTTAGACTAACATTTTAGGCTAAAAAGTAATCAAAAAATGATACTTTCGCACGAATTTTAATCGGGATATTCATCCACTTTGATAAAATTATACAATTAAGTCAGGTGAAAATGAACCACAAAAACCAAGCCAAAAACTTGGCCACGAAAAAATAATACACAAAACAACCACAACCACAGGTACAGCAACAACCAGAAGCACAACCAGAACCACAACCACAATCAAGAACATTTGGTAGTGGATACACTGGTGTATTTGGACCAAATATACAAGTAATTCATTCACAAAAAATCAATTTTTGACGAGAAACCTGCACAAAATAGTGAAGGAAGTAATTATAAGGAAGGTGATGATGTAGAAAAAAAGAAGTTCCGTTTAGAACAGGGACACAACCCTTATTGTAAGAACTGGAAGGTAAAGAAATTGATAATAATAATAATATAATAATTATAATAACAATAATATTTATTTATTTAATATCAACTGGTGAAGAGATTGAGGTAACTCTACTCTCAGTTAGAGTGAAATTACATTGTATGGATGGTCCGGTATGGAAAGAAAGAGGAATAGGAATACTAAAACTTAATTATTCGAAAGATAATAAAAAATCTCCACAATTTGGTAAACTTTCAGTATAAATTTTTGATTATTATAATTACTTTCATCAACCATTATTATATTATTAGCATGTTAAAAAAATTATATAGTTATCCGCACTGAAAATATGCTAAGAGTGAACTTAAATGTTTCCTTATTTCCGGGAATTCATGACGAAAGATCACATGATAAATTTGAAAGATTGATTGTATTTGAGGATAAACTCTTTCATTTAGCTGTTAAGGTTTGTAATTTTAGATTTGTAATTATATTTTTAATTAAATTTTCATTCATTATATCTTCTTGTATTTATTTAGCTAATGAATTCCAATGTAGCTGATGAATTATATGAAGCTATAAAAAGCGAACTACCTACAACTCAAGATCAATCATCTCCTCCTCCTAGAGTAATTTCGGAGATGTCATTTTAAAGTATTATTTTTTTATAATTATTTGGTATTAATCAGTAATATTTGGTATCATTCTTTTTAACAGCATGTAACATTTTTTATTTTTTAGCAAAAATTTATAAATTTAGTAAATCAATCATAATAAATGAGTAGAGGATACATGCGAGAAAATATATATATTATTTTTTATTTTATTATTACATTTATTATTTACAATTATTTTACTTAGTTTTTCAATATCATATTTTTTCCCTTTTCTTATTCTATTTTTATTAATAAAAAAATAAATGAAATCTTACAAATTTTTTGTTAAATTAAAAAAAATAATTGTTTCTATAAACTATCCTAATTAACTAAATTCCATAATTGCTATTGTCACCACTGTGCAGAGTATTTCGAACAATTTCTTAAATTAGTCTCAAAGTTTGCATCACGCAAACATAATAATATGCTTTATCTGCCAGTAGGTCACAGCTAATACAATCAATTTAACTGGCCTATCTCAAAACAGATAATAAATATATAATAAATAATAATAATAATCAAATAATTAATCAATTAATCATGAAGGCATAGTGAGTAAGGTGAAGTAAAAGTAGTTAATACAATATCAAACAATATTTAATAATATTTCGCAATATTACAGCACAAGATATAAGTTTATTAAAATATAAAATATAAAGTTTTAAAAGTAAAGTATAATTTAGCAACAGAAATATTATCATGTGTTAGGATGTCTATTTTACCGCCCTGAAGTAGGTTTACTTTTCTATCTAGTAATAATTAAAATATTTCGATATATTTCATAATATTAAGTAATAATTAATTAATAATAACTATTAATGAATTCTTATCACTCTCTTAAACTTACACCCGTCAACAGTCATATTTATACTTTCTCTTTTGTTTACATTTCATCCTACTTATCTTCGTACTTCATCTTTTATCCTGGTACAGTCATCCTTCATCTTTGTACGGTTATCTTCGTACTTCATCCTTCATCCTCATACAGTTATCTTCGTACTTCATCCTTTATCCTCGTACTGTCATCTCACGTGAAATAACAATTACCTGAATGTTCATCTAGTAACACAATTTATCATTCCCCATGACATTTCACCTGATTATCAATTTGGGTCACCACAAATATTTCTTTCTTCAAAGGGAAGCTCCTGCGACCCAGCATTCATTTCTAAAAGATCTTTTATCAATTGTGCACCCATTGTTTTACATAGTTGCAGAAACCTTTCAAACTCTTGATTTAGTCAGTTTATAGATCCAATCTGACATAACATTTTGAAAATTTCTGGTATATAGCATTCCTATCTCCCAGAATAATGATTGTACTCGTGTTGCTATTTTATAAATTCATGATTCATTTTGATAAGATCATTTATGTAATTCTCTTTTCAATGCCATTGTTACTAGTCGACCTTTTGGACTAATTTTATTTTCCAAAAGGCAATTTACAACTAGTAACTCGTAAACAGTTACTTTAGTTTATGAATTGAAGAGGATGATAGATGAAGAATAAAAGAATATACTAAGTTAAATACTAAAAACTAATTAAAAGACTTAAGAATTTAGGGTCACGGGATTTAAACTATTGACTAATGATTTAATTTTAAAGGTCGA